TTTTGGCTCCTTCCCACCCCAAAGCTCTGTGAGAGCACGTTTTTAGGGGCTTCATCGGTGGAGCCGTTTCATTTTACCCCGTTTGGCAGAAAACAGCTCCAAACGGCTCCTGAAGCCGCTGGAGAAGCCCTGCCAAACGGGGCCTTAGTGTTAGCTTTCGCGTAAAATGAAGTGAACTAGTGAATCTGCTTCAGTGCAAAAATGAAGTGCGCAAACAAACAGATGGTTTGCGACAGATTCGGTAACTGAATTGTAGTCGACGCGCAGTTCAGCATTCTTGATTCAGTCTGGCGCCAAAATCCGTAAGAATATCTGAAAAAAATTGATCATATCCTCACACCTAACGAAATAAAGTAGAATGAGTTAAATGTACCGGCGGCCCTCGAATTTGTAAGGGTATGTCACTTAGTTCCATGAACTCGTAAAATACAGTTTTAGGTCCCTAAATTTGCCAAGTGATGCACCGCAGATCCATATAATACACGTAGACACTTCTAGCTGACGTGGCATGACAGCGTGGCATGTGTTTTTACATTTAACCCCTTCAATTCTCTCTTCCTCTCACATCTTAGCCCATGACCAACACGGCGCTGTCGGCGTTGATGCGGACGGACACCGGCTGCCCGAACACCCCCTGCTCCATCACCAGGGCGACCTCGTCAGCGCACAACCCGCAAAAAATATTGGCAGCCAACACGGCGTGGTACGGGCTGTCCGCGGCCCACCCCGCTTGCATCTCTCGGTCATGTCCCAGTCCCACGGCGAGCTTCCAGCGGTAGGAAAGCGCGCTGTCATGCTTGGCGAGCTCGCGTCATCAGTCGATCGACACACATCTTAGGACCTTGGGCATGTGCGACATGCTTGTCAACATTCGTGGAGCTGAGTTCCGCGCGCGATGCCAGTCCTCTTGGAGGTCCTCGTCGAAGCTGACTGGGCCACGAGCGAGAAGGCGCTAGCCACGCTCGACGGCGTCCTATGTGCCGACGCTGGCCTCGTGGCCGCACTCGCACTCGTTGGTTGTGCAGGTGCTCGTCGAGCGACGCTTCACCTGTACGCTCGGCATGGCCACGACTTTCGTCGTCTTAGCGATCTAGCGCCTCTATGGTGTGGACGCCTCCGGCGCTGCCGCTCGCCACGGTGTCTGCAAGGACAGTGTCAGACAACACGAACCTGCTGGGCTCCATGCCTCCATCGATCAGGCCATGCTGTGCCAGCTGCACGCACTGTCCAGGAGCAGGAGCACTCGAGCAGAGAGTGCTCCATCATCAGCGCGGCCTTGTCAGCCTAGTTGCCCACTTGCCCTGGTACTTGTCGTCGATCTTCACCACCGGCAGTGCAAGTGCATGCACAGTCACGAAGAACAGCGCATACAGCGCAGTGCTTGATGCATGGATGCACGCGTGCGAATCTGCATGACTCCTGCCTGGCAACGTAGCCAGGGTAGTTCGGAGGCTTGCCGCACTGGTCTACGATTAACACCTGGTTGATGGTGTATTCGAACGCGTCTTTGAATGACTCGTTCACACATGCGGAGAGCACGCCCCTGGCGGGACAGGCGGCTGCTTATTGGACCTGGACGTGCTGCCACTGGCGAGGCTGTCGGCGACGTCCTGCTGGTCGTCGGCTTCGGGCAAGGTGCCGGTGTACATGCCGGTGAACTCGTCCACAGTCAAGTCGAAGAACTTGTTGAGGCCGAGCTTTGCTTGCACGCCCACAGCAGCGCCCGGTGTCTTCACTAGGCCTGCGGGACGTCTTTGAACCACGCCGTGTTGGTCATGGGCTACGACGTGAGAAGAAGAGAGAATTAGAGGGGTTAAATGTAAAAACACATGTCACGCTGTCTTGCCATGTCAGCTAGAAATGGCTACGTGTATTATATGGACCTGCAATCCACCACTTGACAAGTTTAAGGACGTAAAAGTGCATTTTTCCGAGTTCGTGGATCTATGTGGCACACCCTTATAAGTTAGAGCGCCGCTGGTGCATTTAAATCAAGTAGAATTGAATCCAATGCCTTCCGTGTTGGCTTATCTAGCACGGACCAGTGGAATTTATGAGAGCTAAAGGTTGGGGATTTTTTTTCCAACGCCTACAGAGTATAAGCTTGCTTAGGGGATGACCTGATGAACGTGGGTTGCTGAGAAGCGCTTCCTGCTTAGAGCCTGAGACTGCTCTACTCCATGTTCAACTCTATTTTATGGGTTTTAGCCAAATAGGTGTAGCTCCGCTCTATAAAAAAAGGGTGAAGTTGTGATAGCACATAAAGAAGTGCTTTAGAAGTTTAATTTTTTTTTACTTGCCCTACAATAGAGTTTGTAGAGCAGAGTTTATGAAGCAGTCTCAAACATGCCCTTAGTTTAGCATAGTCATTTGTGAATTTGGATGTGACTCCCAAGTATAGATGGTGGTGGATTTGGATAACCCAAACTTCAATTGGACTCTAGATGCAGTTAGACGAAATTTATCTATTATATTAATACAACAATGTTAAAAAAAATCCCACGTTCGTTGGAAAAACCTAGAGATTACGAGAATACTCGGGAAAAGAAGAAAAAACATGCATCATTGGATTTTGTGACGATCTGCAGTCCAAATTTAGCCAAAGAGTCTATATATACCCAGAACAATCAGTATATAGGTAAATTCAGAATTAAAAATGACAAAGTCACTAACAAATTGTATACAATTGAGAATTGAGACACAAAAATAGGTAAATAAAGAGATAATGTCTGGTACAATTAATAGCCAAATTTGAAGAAAAAAATGACAAAATGTTTTCTATCGGTTTTGGTTATAAAGTAAAACAACTAAATAGAAAAACATGGAAATATTTTTAAATTAGTGGTTCAAAAGGCTATGTGTTATTGGTTGGGCGGTCAAATTCCAATGGTTTAGATACGATACAAGAGAACGAACAGACCTAAATTGGAATACTACATCATCAAATTAAGAAAGATGAGATCACGTAGGTTGCTTACAAATCAACGCACGCTCAAGTTTGAATAAAATAATTTAGAAAAATGAGATCACTAATTGAAGAGGTTGAAAGAGAAAAGAAATTACGAGACTAATTGAAAAAGAAAAAGAAAAGAGTATCCTTGGTGGATTTTTATGACGATCTAACGGTCCACTTTTATCGACAAAATTATGCCACATATAATGTACATTTTTTTTCTTTCCTTTTATACCTGACATGTTCCAATTTCATGGGGTTCTCCCTCTGTCATGTCCTATCAGGCCTAACAAATAAAGCAAGGAAATGAGTTCGATTCTATCACATTTAAAATGTTACAAATTTAAGTATCAATTCGATCACCGAGTCTAACACAATCAACTATGACTCGTGCATTATTCCACTCGCATTTTAATTCTAAAAGCTATCACATTTGTAGGCGAGAGCGAAGCAGTAGAAAGCGACAACAACAGGCGACCACAGACACAGAGCAGTTGGCTGTGGGCGAGCACAGGCCATTGCAGTGAGCTAGCTAGCGACAGCCTGTTCTTTACAGCTTGTGCTTTACATCAACCAGAGATGTTTTATGCCCACGTGTAGTGGCCTAGGTCAAATTAAAGCTAAGTTGTAACTAAAAATAGTATTTAAAAACTTAAAAATTTAAATTATACGAGTGTTAACAAGCTAAACAATTTGTGATAGCCTTAACATTAGTTGAACCTCATTTAAAGAAAAAAAAATGAAAGGTAACTTGAATTCGCAAGGAAGGGGAGGTACAATGATAATGCTCATTTGCTAAGGACATCCTCAATTGTAATAGGTTCATAATATACGTAGGTGAGGTGAATGAAGGGAAAAAAAACTATTTCACACATCCTTTCTCCTACTCATTATTCTTCTTGTCTGAGACTTCCTCCTTTTCTCCATCAATGGGAAATAGTTTTTTTTTTGAGGTTGGCTATTTGCTCATCACTAGCCAACACTAAGGGCCTCAAGGCCCAATCAGGAAGGCCTATACATCATGAACTTATGATGGGCTGAGCTACTGTCCACTGTCCTATCCCCAAACAATGGAAGTCGAGCCCGTGGAGGCTTTGGTAGGCGCTTAGCCCGGGACGTGTTCAATCTCCTCTTCGATTCTCGATCACGTGTGGTCTTGCCCAGTCACACCGACTCGAGCCCAAGGCCGGATTCCACCGGCCGGCCTCCAGGAAGGAGCAATATGTGGACTTGGAAGCAGTATTCTAATCGCGACCAAACCCAACGCCAAAATTTGACTTCGTTTCTTCGAAGTCGTTGTCTCGTTCTCCTGGCGTCGCTACTCTGTTTCTTGTTTCTAGAAAATTTGGAGTGCGAAATTGGGGATTTGAATACTGACCAAATCTATCTACTAAAACTTCACACAAAGTAGACGTGTTAAATTTTTGTTCGTATAGATAGGACAATGCAAAAGCGCCAAGTTTTTGGTCTGTCTCTTTCTGCATACATACTGCTCCGTCCGTGTTCGCTGCAGAGTCATGGCAATTGCATCAGCCTTGCATTCAGGCGCAAGCAAACCTGCACTGCACTCCGGAAGCAACTGACGTGCGAGGCTGAATTAAGGCGCAAGTGAGCCTTTTCCCGCTCCGCTCGTCACAAAAGTCTGAAACTCTGAATACATCTATCTAGTCCCGTTCATGATCGTACAATCGGCCGTAAAATTTTGAAGAACAAGCGCGGTGAAAACGCGCAATGTCAGTGGCAACATGGAAACTCATTTGGAGGCCTTTCCACTTTACATTATACATATATAATATATGTGACGAAGCACTCTATCTGTTCTAATCCTATTTAAGCAGAATAACTACACAGCAAATTTCGGTCGCGCTATTTCAGCTTATGACATGGAGGTCACATCATGCCATCGTACATGCATTTTGACAGGCTACATGATCACAACAGGCATTCATTGGGACAGAGAAAGGAAACGAAAAGAAGAGAGAATACGAAGACGATTAGATGGATCGTCAGAGCTTATCGAACACCTACTGGCCGATCGGCTCATGGATCAGATCATCAGAGGAGGGAATGGAGCTTGCTTGTCAGAACTCAGAAAGAGCCAATGGGGCGTCTTCTTGGGCAGCACGCGCTCCTCGATGGTCCGCAGGCTGGGCTTCCACCCCCTGCTGGACAGCTCCCGGCTCAGGAACTCCGGCCGGTGCTCCTCGAACCCGTCCGCCGGCCTCGCCGCCTCCGCCTCGTCCTCGTCCTCAGGGGACCCCGCCGCGGTCGCCTCTCGCTGCGCCGGCTCCTCGGCGCCAGCAGCCGCCTCCGCCCGGCGGCCGTTCTTGGGCGATGACGACAGCTTCCGCCTGAGACCGGGCATCGACCGGGACCGTGCCAGGGACCGCGCCGCCGACAGCGCGCGCCTCGCCTCGTCGACCGACACCTTGCCCCGCGTGGCCGGCAGCAGGACGTACACCCCACCGGCGCCCAGCACGTGGTCGGCCGGCAGCGGCGCGACCTTGGCCCCGCCGCCCTGCTGGTGCTGGTGCTGGTGCTGGTTGTTTTTGTGGTGGTGGTGCTCCCGCCGGCCCAGCTCCTTGAGCACGCGCGCGTCGACGACGAAGTGGCGCGGGTGGTCCATCATGAGCTCCGCCACGGACACCGGCTCGCTGAGCGCCCGCACGCTGCCGTCCGCCATCACCACCTTCCCGCCGCCCCTCACCGCCGCGGCACCCGAGACCAGGTTGCCCATTTTACCCAGTCCCAGTGCGTCGGTCGCGCGCGAAGGCAGCAGCGCGGCAGAGCCGAGCCACGCGGACAGGGGTGCGAATGGTGCTCCGGGGGCAAAGGGGCGGACGGGTCGGAGGTATTAAAACGGTTGGCGGGAGCGAAGAATTTCTAGCGATTTCCTTTGCCCCCGGTCGCATTCCACTCCACCGGTAACACCGAAGTCTCGAGGCAGGGCCGCAGGGGGTTTAGTTGGCGTGGTCGTGGAGCGGATGCGGAGGACACGGCCAGGGGGGTGGCGGGTTCGGTTTGAACTGAACCGCTCCCGCGGTGAGGTCGTTGCCGCGTTGACTCGTCTCCCACACGCACACGGTGCGCACCCCGCAGGCCGCAGCACCGTCACGGGCTCACGGCCCTGTGGCTCCCAGTCCCTCCCAGCTCTCTCCGACGTCTCCGTTTCCGGCGGCGCGGCGACTGTTCTGAACGCATTCAACTCGGCGAGAAATCGGTCGCGGGCGTCCGTTGTATCTTTCCAAAATTTTCTCGGCAGATTCAGGAGTGTGTACGCGAGGCTGCACATTTCCGAGCGTAACAGGCGGGGAGACAGAGGCATATAGCATAGAGCAGGGGCCACCGGGCTAGAGGGGAAAGAATTAGACAGTTTGATTAAAGAAAGTGTGCTCGATTTGGTTGGCTACTGGTGGTGAGTTCGGTCGAGCTGGATGCAAGCGTACTTTTCTGTCTCAGCGACGAAGGTGACGTGCGACCACTTTGCCGTTGGGGCTCCACTCCTCTCTCTCTCTTGTTTTCTTCAGCTCTGCCGCTCTGGGCTACGGCTATCTGCTCGGCGTCAGTTCCTTATGAAATTGCTTGGAGGAGAATCGAAGTCTCCGTTGTGGCGCTATTGTTGTTTTTTTATGAGGGAGGATTAGTTGACGGCTAGCATAGTTTGGTGCCTGTCCGCGTTTTGTACCAGACGTGATCTTTGTGTGCGTGCTCCCATGATTATTGTTCCAGTCAATTATCAATTATTAAATTAAATAAACATAGCTGGGCCGGCCGACCTAAGATGGTTTTGTAGGCTTGATTTGCCGACATTTTCTTCGTTTGGTTGAGACAACGTTTTGTGACGGTTTCATCAATTCAAAATCTGTTCATCCAATCTTCTTCTGCAAATGTTCATATGTGTGTCCGTTGAATGTATCTAGAGAACGAACAAAGTAGACCTTCTATCCACGAAAAGGAATTTAAACCCGTTGAATAAATGTTACTCGCTCGCTCACTCCATTGTCAGAGGAGTCGTGACTCGTGACTCGTGAGGTCAACCAAACAATGCTGCAGGATGCAGGCTAATACGGCAATACGGGACAAATTTTGGACTTTCCTGGACAAAACTTAGCGAACGCTGGTCCTACAGTGATGGTGGGTTCAGGTATTTTTCTGGTTTGTGGGCTACAGAGATCGATCTCTACGTCTTCTGGTTTTGGTTACATGCATGTTCCATATGTTTATGAGATAATACAAAACTGTTTCTCACTCCATTGCCGACAGCCTACTACCAGGAAATCAAAACCGTTCACAAGCAGCGCCTCGGAAAATTTCGAACTTGTGGACAAAATTTGGCGGATGCAGGTCCTACGACAACCGCGTGACGGTGGGTTCAAGTACTTTTGCCTGCCGTGGCATTGATGCCAAATTGCCATGCTTCTACCAGCAAACATCATTGACGCAGGGTACTGTCTTTGGGGTTTGGGCGCCAAACATGCTTTGTGTGAACCTCACTCCTGTGTTTCCGGCCCTAAGCAGTCTTTGAATACTGCTTGTAGATGCATACAAACCATGTGAGGAGATACTTGCGTTCAATATTTTTTTTTAAAAAGATTACGTTAAAAAAATGTGAGGAGAGAGACATAAAGTCTTCGCTACATTTAAAAGCATCGTATGCTTTGCTTGCGAGAAACTTCCTTGCCTATTTAATTTCTTGATTGATGATTCTTTTGATCTACAATAGGTCAATTTGTAATATTCAGTCTCTCACCGAATGATTGCAACTGTGCTTCTCTCCTTAATTTAGAATACTACCCTTTCAGATTCAGACCCATGCACGGGTTAGAATTTTGTATGAGATATAAAATTAGTATATTAGAAGTTTATGTTTAGTCCTATAACTAATCAAAATTACTTATCTTTGCATTACTCTCTTTAGACATATATTATTACGAAGTTAAACTCTCCATAGAATCCAATTTGTTATATGCAGACTTCCCGTCCAGCTTCTTCTGCATATTTCGTTGTCCGAACAACCATTTAGTAACCAACCTTCGTGTCCAAATTGGTAAGGAACACGGTTAGTACTATCCTATTCCTACAGTATCCATCCCCATCACCTGCATACCTAAACGGCTAAACTTACCTCCTAATTCCGATTTTTTTTCTCGTGGGTACTCATGGCTATGGCTTTGCATACCCCGAACGGGGCCGAAGATAGACACAGGTGGCGTACGAGTTGAGCCTGGCCAAACAGCTGCTGTAGTTCACTCGGCTGATAAGCCATGACTGAAAGTACCGTTGGCTGATTTATTGTGAGAGAGAAATATTGTTCGTTGGTTGAAAAAGTACGGCTTATAAGCCAAGCAAACATGACAATGATGGTTTCCGGCTGATCGGAGAGGGATGTGTACCAACCAAAACCAGGTCCAGGCAGGGAGAAGCTTCGATTGGTCGCGGGAGCCATACCAAAATCCAAGTCATAAGCCAAGCGAACATGACAATGATGGTTTCCGGCTGATCGGAGAGGGATGTGTACCAACCAAAACCAGGTCCAGGCAGGGAGAAGCTTCGATTGGTCGCGGGAGCCAAACCAAAATCCAATCGTCTTCTCCGGTCGCTGCTGGACCAGCCGCTGCCGGGGCTTCTAATCCAAATAAGGCCCCGTAGTCCGTAGACAACAGACCTGCCATTGCCCATTCGCTAGTCGGAATGTCGGACCAACCCCAACCCAGCCCCAACGCAATGCTGCAACCCTGCCTATGTTTTCCCTTTGATCGGTGTGAAAAGGACAGCTCGCTTCCGGCTCAAGCGATTCTCCTGTTGTGTTGCATGCATCGGTTGGGGAGTCAAGGGGAGATATAACACTATACAAATCTGATGGAAAAAAATTGATTAATCGTAGTCGTAGAGCGACAAGGCTGCAGAGATTCCTGCGTTGGTTCCAACCATCCGAGTACCGCGAGAACGAGTTGCCGGAGTCCGTGCGTGTTTTCCTTTTCCTGTTCGTTTGCAGAGCTTTTTTTTTTGGGGGGTCAAAACGTCTCTGTTTTCTGTTTGATAACTCCCCGGTACGCACAGCACAGCTTTGTTCTCGGAGTGGTTGTGAATGTGGCAATGTGGTTGGGTGGTCCGATGTGCTCCTCGAATGCTCGATCTGAAGTTCTGAACTACGTGGGGATGCTATTTGGAACGTCCAAGTCCAGTTTGCAGATGGAGCTTCAGCTTGAAGCTGTGTTTGTAGGTGCTGGTAGAAATGTACGTCTATAGAGCTAATAAATTACTACGTACGCAGGCGGCTAGGAAGATACGCAGAACCCAGAAGATGACCGTACACTGCACGGTATCCCACCGAGAAAAAAAAAGAAGTAGGAAAACACGCACCGACTCGTAAGCATCATGAGATCAAGACTTGACAAGGGGAGTTTTGCATTGATGGAACAGTGGCCGACACTTCGATTGCAGCATTCACCGAAGCTGCGTGGGTACTAAAAAAGGCTCGTCAGCATCGGGAAAATTTGGATCCCAATTGACAGTTGTGTGCTTTGATGAAGCGAGTAGTAACTATGGGATATGGATGGAAATGGGTTGATCCGGTCCTGGTTTTGGATCCAGTCCATGGCCTCAATGGTTCATTAAAAAGTAAAGACTATAGCCTTCATGGTACAATGGGTACGATAGGTTGGTCTAAATATTTTCTACTATCATGAACCATAAATTATTATGAGATATAAGATTGAAAAATATCATGATTACATATTAAGATTATTAGCAATGCTTCAAATAAAATAAGTTTGCAAATGAATCATGATATTATTTTTATTATTTTTATTTCCAAAATATGATATATCTCGTTCTACTTTCAAGCACAAGTGTGCTTACAAGTAATGACCAGTCGTGCTTATTTGAAAAAAAAATAGAAAACCAACAAATAAAAAGTCATTGTTGTGTGACGATTAGATTAACCCATCCTATCCATTAAGTCAATTTCTCGATAATCTTCCAAATTTGTGACAACCACACATCCAACGATGCTCGCTTGACATCCTACGCCACCCATAGTCAATGACACCCTAGTAACCCTATCTCACTGCCCTACTCTAGCGCTCACCGCCAACGTCCCGAGAATCATCACCTCACCTAGGCCTGGGCGTTCGGTTTTACCGAACCAAACCGATCGATTCTTCGGTTTTTGAAGAAGTTCGGTTCTTAGGAAACTCGGTACCGATCGGTTCTTCAAAAAACTCGGTATCGACCAAGTTCGGTTTCGGTTAGTTCGGTTCTCGGTTCCAACCGAACTAACCGACCAATTATTGAACAGTTACAATAGAAAATTCAGCAACATTTTGGCTGTTTTCAAGGCATAAATGACATGGCAACATATGCAAATCAATAAGTCACAACCAAATAACCACAACCAACACATCAACACATTCACAAATCACAAGTTCACAACCCAATTACTGATCTCTTGGTCAATGTCCTCCTCAAGCTGAGACATCTGAAAAAAATAATTGAGAACAAAGTTATTGGGCCTCCGGTTCTTCGGTTAACCGAGGGGAGGAACCGATTTAACTGAATAAAGTTCGGTTCCTAAGAATGTTAGTTCGGTTCGGTTCTCGGTTAGTTCAGTTTGGTTCTCGGTTCTCGGTAAAATTTGCCTAGGGCTAACCTCACCTAGACGGAATTTATCTTTGTTTAGGGGTGGGCATAAAAGGCAATACTTGAAATACGAACCCGAATTACCTGATTGCTATT